TCAGACACCCTCTCCTGCTTCACTTAAGTTCTGGATTTTGGAATTATACCTCTGCCTAATCCATGCTGTGCTGCATCTCATCTGGATGGCTGTTTGGTGGGGGAGATTCTGGGTGCTGTTTTGTGGTACGTGAGACCTTCAGGTCACGTCCATGAACCTAAACACTCTGTCATTGCCTTCTGTTCCACACACGAAGAACTAAGAGCTGCTGGTGAAAGTGATTCCATTTCCATTGAAAAACATGTTTTTAAAAGAAAGTGCTGTAGGGAAGGGGCCAAAGGCCAGCTGGGTTGCCTGAGAACCCAGAGACATCCATCCCTTTGGACACCCACCTTGAATGGATGCAGGCCCATCCTTGGGCACCCAACAGCCTGGGAGAGAGGACTGAGGTGAGGATGCGGGGGTGGTGTGTGCACAGAGTGCTGGGGGAGTCACACCCACCTTGCTACACCTCTCCTTCAATATTGGGAGATTACGAGAAGGATTTCATAAGGCTCAAGAGCCTTGCCCGGTTCCTAATGCCAATACCTCGTGCTTTTGCTGTGGCCAGGGGCTTTATCAGGGTGGCCATTAGAGCTGGGCTGCAGGTGAGCTGTGGCCAGGAGTTCTGTGTACCCCTCACCAGGTCACCCCAGGCCTTGGGGCAGTCTTTGGGACAGGAAAGAGAAGAGAAGTGGCTGATGCTGTGTGGAAGACACAGGACTGAGCATTCAACTATTGTCAGGCAACTACAGACACAGCCCAAAGCTGCTCTCAGGGCAGCCATTTGGGTCACATTGGCTGTACCCCAGGTTTGTGAGACAGGGCTGGGCTCAAGAGGGCACAGATCATCACCTCCAGGTTACTGTGTGCTGGCTGGAGCGAGGCACAGGGGCAAAGAGCTTGCTGCCACTGGCAGGTAACAGCTTTATTAATTCAATTCTTCTAGACATGAACATAGGCTCTGGACATGGGGCAGACCATGCAGGAGGGAGAGGATCAGGAGAGTAGTACAGCTTTGACTTGCTCCAGAATGGGCTAAAAACAAGGAAAAATCCTCCATTAAAACCGAGGAAAAATCCTCTCCCCAAGCCTCCACTACCCCAGGGATCCATTCTAGCTGCCCTGGCTGTTTTGTTTCAGCTGCCCTGTCCAAGCTGCTGTGTGCGACAGAGGCAGAAGGAGTTGTATGCTCAGGCTGCCCAGCGCAGTATCCTCCAGGCCCCATGGCCACTAAACAGCAACATTGAAATCCTGCTGAGGCACACTGGTGCTTTCACTTGTGTTTCTAGCCCGGAGAAGATCATGCATGCCCCAGAAGAAGCTCACCCTTTTCCCTGTGCTCTCTTGGCTGTCACTCCAGCCCTCAAGTGCAGACACATTGCATATGCCTGGAGGGGGGGTCTCATCAGGCAGGGCTTGTGATGGAGACCCCCAGGAAAGGCGAGGGCTGTGTCTATCCCAGACCTCTCACACCAGCATCCCCCTGTGCCAGCCCCATACGCCTGCTGCAGCCTGCACTGCACCCCAGCACTCGGGGCTCGCTGGGGAGAGACAGGCGCAGCCCTGCCCCGCTGCCCCGGCACCGCCCCGAGCCCCAGCCGGAGGGGAGCAGAGCCGCGGTAGCCGGGGCCACGGGATGTGTGCAGGGGGAGGCTGGAGCACAGGGAGCCGTGGAGCGCCCCAGTCTGGCCCGGCAGGACAGCCCCGCTGCCCACGGCCCGCGGGTGGCGCTGGGGCAGCCCCTCGGCACGGGGACACGGCGGCGGCGGCGATGCCCTAGCCCCGCCGGCCGGGCGGGCTCCGGGCCCTCCGCGGGAGCGCCACCGGGACGGCCCCGCCCGTGACGTCATGGAGCCCCGCCCCCTCCCGGTCTCGGCCTTTGCTATTGGGTAGCGTGCCCTGTTGGACCCGCCCGCCCTCTCCTTTCTGAGTTTCTATTGGTGGCTGAGCTGTCACTCCAGCCAGGCCACGCCCCTCACAGGCAGGCGGGGACCTGCACCCCGGAGACCGGGATCCCTGCGCTCGCCCCGCGCCGCTCTGCGTCCGCTTGGCACCGCTCAGCACCTCCGGCAACCCTCACTGCAACCCTGCACCGCTCACTGCACCTCACTGCACCCCTGGCACGCTCCTACACCTCTCGCTGCAACCCCGGCACCCCTCACTGCACCCCCGGCACCTCCAGTGTCATTCACTGCACTTCACTGTAGCCCTGGCATCCCTCACTGCACCCCCGGCACCTCCAGTGCCGCTCACTGCATCTCACTGCAGCCCTGGCATCCCTCACTGCACCCCTGGCATCCCTCACTGCACCCCTGGCACCTCCAGTGCCGCTCACTGCACTTCACTGCTGCCCCCTGCGCCTTTCACTGCATCCCTGCACCGTTCACTGCCATCCCCTGCACCCCACACTTGCTCCCCACTGCGCCCTTCAATGCCCCCCTCACTGCAACCTCACTGCACCCCTCAGTGTGTCCCTCTGCACCTCTCACTGCACCCCCAGCACCTCCAGTGCCACTCACTTCACCTCACTGCAGCCCTCTGAGCCTCTCACTGCCCCCCTGCACCATTCACTGCCATCCTCTGCACCCCACACTTTCGCCCCACTGCTCCCTTCAATGTACCCCTCACTGCACCCCTCATTGTACCTCCCTGCACCTTTCACTGCACCCCTGCACCCTCCAGCACCGCTCACTGCAACCCCTGTGCCTCTCACTGCACCGCTGCACCGTTCACTGCCATCCCCTGCACCTCACTGTTCCTCCCACTGCCCCCTTCAATGCACCCCTCACTGCACCGCTCATTGTGCCCCCTGCACCTCTCACTGCACCCCACCACTCCGGGGAAATCCCAGTTCCCAGTGTCCCACATCACTGTGTCCCACTCGTACCTCTGCTGCTATCCCCTGTGCCCTGACCTGCAGCCCCCAGGACACCACACATCCCCCAACACCACCCTCCTCAGCTGCCAGCCCCCTCCTGCAGCCCCATCTCAGAGCACCCGTCACCCCCTTCACCTCCTGAACGCAGGGGGAACAGCCCACCCCACTGCCCCAGCACCCCAGAGCTGAAGGATTGGTGCTGTAGTGCCTCAGGGCTGGAAGGAGTGGATGTAGACCCAAGTGAGGAGCATGGCAGAATGGCAGGGAGCAGGCCAGGATGTTGGGGAGTGTGGTGGGATCACGGGGATCCCAGCAGGCTGACTGGGAGCACGACAGGACAACCAGTGGAATGATGGGGAGCACAGCAAGGTCAGTGTGGAGCATGGACAACCACAGCCCAGCCATCGGAGCTTCCCCAGTGCAAGCAGCAGGGCTCAGGAAGGGAGATCCCACCTTCCTCTCCTCTTTGCCCACCCTGATAGGTCCCAGGAAGAGAAATCCGGAGCAGAGACATTTGCAGGCCCCATCACTGTGAGGCCTGGGGCCAGAGCTGCTGGCCAGCAGCCAGGTGGTTTCTGCTCCTGCTTGGGAGCACAGAGGATGTTTTGTATGCAGTGGTGGGAGCACCGTGCCCACCAGGGCTGGCCCTGCTGCCAGCAGCCCCACAGCCTCCAGCTCCCGCCCACTGCATCACGAGGCCTCTGTGCCTCTGTGGCATGCCTTTCTCTCCCACCCAGGGTGCACAGCTGGGATGGGATGACGGACAGTGCTGGGATGCCACAGGCCTTTCCAGCACTACCTGCCCATGTTTCTCCTCTGCTAGATGATGTCTGGGCTGTGATGTTGTTGCTCACTGCTGCTGTGACACCTGCTGTCCCCCTGCCACTTTGCTGTCGGGCCCTGTGACTGTGCCCCTGGTCCCTCTCCACAGCTTGGCCACATGTGGGGTGCTCCAGCCAGCTGCTGTGTGCACCTGGAGGATGTGGGGTGCCCTGGCAGGCTCCTGGAAGATGGTGGGGCAGGCAGTGGGCTAGGGTGTGGGGTGGAAAGGGCAGGAGTTCAGGGACACCTAGCTGGGAAGTTAGAGGGACATGTTCTGCAACCTCACCCTGAAAGTCGTGCATGGCATCCAGGCAGTGATGAGCCGATCCATCATCCATACATCCTCATATTGCAATGACAGCTGCTTCAATATGGACTGCTTGCTCACCTTCCTGCCTGGGCTTGATCCGGCATGGACTGGCCTCTGCACGGTCTCTTCCTCTTCTGGGAGAAGTTGCAGGCCACCTGCCAGCTCTCCAGCACATGGCATCTGGCATGGCACACCATTTTCATGATGTCTACATCATGATGTACACTTCCTCTTTCTGGATGTGGCAGAGATTCTGAAGGCAGACAGCACCCTGCCCCATCCCCACGGAGGCTGTGCACAAACTGGTGAAGGTGGAGGGCCCAGGTGTGAGTCAGAGGTCCCATCTCCAGGCACACACCATGGTATGTCTGCAGCTACTGCTACCTGATGATGATGATCCATGTGCTGAAGCAGGAGGATCCCTCCTGGAGCAGGAGGGCCTCATCAGAGCGTGTGGCAAGCCCAGGCTGTGAAAGCCCCAGGAAGAAATCTACCAAGGACCTGGACACTAAGGGACCGCGGCTTCTGCACACGCTGCCTCCCCAGCACAGCATCACCCACCCCAGCCTCCTTCCCTGCAGAAGGATGCAGCCTGGGCTTCCTAGCCTCCACTCCTGGCAGTGGCCCTGCTCTGCTCCACAGGCAGCAGCACATCTCCCAGGAACGTCTGATGCCCACCCCAGGTACTGCTTGCTGTAAAGGGTAAATAAATTACATCTGCCCCATGCTGTGTGGGCTGGGAGGTTCTAAGTCTGTAAATAGCTGAGCTCCCCTCATGCTCATCTCGAAAGTGAGAAGGGGAACATGCCCCAGAGAGGGGGAAAGAATTGGTCAGTTGCCATCACTGCTAGAAAAGATAATTTTATTAAGTGTCTCTCTAGTATAAACTCAAAATATCTGGAACCTCTGATATAAATATATGTGCCATGGCTCTGTAGCAAAGCTGTTGCTCCTGGGGCCAGCGATGGTGGCACTCAGGAGGGGATGCACCTGGCATCAGAGGACAGGCTAAAGCTTCTCTTTGTGATCCGGGGAAGTGTGAGGAGCACCGGGGTGGTAGGGCACCCCAGAGGCACCCTTAAAAAGGGGCATGGGGGGGACACAATGGCAAAGGGGGCAAGGATAGGTGTGTGTCTGGAGCAGAAGCTGGCGCAGGGTCTCGCCCATCTCCACGATGCTGTGGTAGAGGTTCTCCAGAAGTGCCTGCTGCTGCTGTGATATGTACAGGATCTCCAGCAGCAGTTGCTGGACATTCTGGGGCAAGCCTGTCACTCCAGATCCTGCAGTGAGAGAGGGGTCAGTGGCACCTCACCATGGCTCCGAGAGCTCCCTTGTGAGGCTGTTGTGGAGCTGCAGGGAGCACCCAGCATGCAGGCTTGTATCTGATGCATCTTCACCTGCTGCTGGCTGCTCACTCGTGGCTGCTGTCCCGTGGGAGCCCGTGGCTGCAGCAGCCAGTGGCAGCGCTTGGTTTCCTCTTCCCATCCCCAGGGATGTCTCACCAGGAAAGCCTGTAATGAAAGCCTGGCATGGAGCAAACAGCAAAAGTGATAGACACCCAAATCTAGCCTGACTACGACACAGAGCCCTGGGAAGGCACTGCCTCTGGGAGCCCGTGCCCTTCTCATTGGCAGGACAGGATGGAGCACTGTCCTGGAGCATGAGGATTCACTCAAAGGTGGAGACATTTACTGGCCTTTCCCTCAGCTCCTTTCTGGTTCAGGTCAGTGTGACATCCTGGAAGGAGAGCAGACCCAGCCTGTGAGCTGCAGACACCTCTTGCGCCAGGGCACACAAGCGTGGTCGCTGGGGCATGGTACTCAGTCAGGCGGGAGAGGGAAGAGAAGCCACAACCGGTGCCTGCAGTGAGAACTATATCAGACCCTGGTTGGGGCTGACCCACTGTGGGGCTGAGGGGGTTTACTGGGCTGAGCAGGGTAAGGAAAGCCTTACATGGCATGGCAGGGGCTGTGGGTGGCACTCCAGCAACGTGTTCCCCACCAGCTGCTGGGAGAAAGCAGAGATGAGACATACACCTTCTGAAGGGACCTGCTGGTGGATCACCACCAGCCCGGGGTCTGCCCGGCTTGCCCCAGCCAGCCCCTCAGCCTGACGCGCCCTAGCCACAGCTCCAGAGCGCCCTGCAGGGCCCCAAAGCACTTCAGAGCGAGGTACAAAAGCAGGAGGCACTCACCCACCACTGCAATGCAGCCACCTCTGGGCTGGAAGGCAGCAGTGGCAGAGCAGTGCACAGCAACGCTAACAACACACTAGGACTGGAAGAGAAGGAGAATCCCACATCTACTTGAAACTGCAGGGGGAATTTGGACAGACAGAAGGTAGTTACCCAGAGTGGGAAGATGGCCGGGGTGCCCACGCAAACCAGACTCAGGGATGTATCCTGCATCACCTCAGGGCCAAATTCCCAGGAGTGTGAGCAGTGAGGGTCCTACAGGTTATGCACGTGGGTGGGCTGAAGGGCTGAAGGGAGCTGCACAGAGCTCTGGCCCTCAAACACAGCCCAAACTCACCTGAAGCTTTATGATGTTACTGGGCCAGTGAGGAGCCAGGAACTGCTGAAGGGAAGGGAGTCACATGCCCTGCAATGCCACCAACCACGAGACCCCTGCGCAGTATCAGGGCCACTGCCCCTTCCAGACCTCTCGCCTCATGATCTCCCCTAGGGAGCCAGCAGCCTTGCCATGCCCTCAGGCTGGTGCTCCTTCCTGCCCTATCCCAGCCATCCCCATCCCCACACGCTCTGGGGCTGGTCTGGAGCCAAAGCCTGTGGAGTCGGAAGACTAAACACACCCATCGTTGACCATCCCTGCTGAGGGACATGTGCTGGATCCCCTAGTCCTCTCAGCCTCCCATTCCCACCATGCTGGCATGGGCTTGGCTGGAGCCATGGCTGGAGCCATGCAGCTCAGCACAGCAGGGCAGCTCAGTACTTACAGGTCTCTGGCTCGTCCTTGACACGCTGCAGCATCGGTGGCAGGAGCAAGTTGGGGGTGTTCCTGCCAACGCCGTGCGCTGCAGGGGTGCAGAAAAGAGCTTCAGTAACTGGGGGAACAGAGGCGTCCACCACCTCGCAGCCAGGACAAGCTGCCTGAGCCCACGGCTCCCTGGCGGCTCTGGTGAGGATGGAGAGCGTGTGGCAAGGGCTGACCCGCGCCCTCTGGAGGGCAGCCTCATCTCGACTAGCGGAAAAAGAAAGACCATCAACAGACCCTGGTTGTCCACATAGCACCAGAGCTCTACCAGCACCCCACGTCCAGCCACGCTGCTGAGCCCACACGCACGTCCCGGCACCCACCTGGCACCCACAAGGCACCTACCTGGCATCCTCCGTTCGCCAAACACGGGCTGCCTCGCCGCCTTCCAGATGCTCTTCATGGCTCGGTAGTGCGACGGCAGCAGGGCCGAGCGCAGTCCTGCCCTGCGGCGCCTCTCCCGCTCCAAGTGGAAAGCCTGCTTGAGCGCCTTCCACTTGGAGCGGCACTGGGCCACGGTGCGCTCGTAGCCGGCGGCCGCCAGCCCCTGGCAGATCTCCCGCCACAGCGCCTCGTTGGGTCGCGACGTGGAGGCCATGAGCAGCGCGGACTCCCCCGAGTCCCGCACCAGCAACAGCAGGCTGTCGACCTCCGCCTGCGTCCAGGACGGCCCGCGGGGCATGCTGCCGGCCCGGACCGGCGTGCCGGGGATCGCTTGGCCGTGCGCTCCCGGGGGCGCGCCGGGAGGATGCCGCGCCGGGGGCGGCACCGGGAGGCGCTCCGAGAACCGCGCCGGGAACCGCACCGGTGGCTGCCCCAGGAGCCGCGCCGGGCAGGGCCGCACCGGGAGCGGCACCGGGAGCGGCACCGGGAGCGGCACCGGGAGCGGCACCGGGAGCGGCACCGGGAGCGGCACCGGGAGCGGCGCGGACTGCCCTTGCTCCGTACGGGGCGGGGCGCCGGGAGCTGCGGGGAGGGGCCGGGAGCAGCATGGAGCATGCGCAGCCCCGGGAGGAGCCGCTGGGAAACGTAGTCCTGGACGAGACATCCCCCCACCCCGAAAGGCGCCGCTCGGAGCGGGATCCTTGCGTGCCCGCCGGCTGCCCGGGGTGCGGGGGGGCTCTGCCGCTGCCCCGAACGAGGGCATGGCACGGGGGCCGTCACGGCAGCCCTGGGGGCTGAGGCGGGGGAAGGAGCACCCCAACCACCCCCCATTTTCCAGGGCTGAGATGCAGCTGCAGCCGCACGCAAAAAAAGGGGCTTGTAAGGAAACACCCCGTGGCCTTGCTCCTTGGAGAGGGGGACAAGGGGATGTGTCCTGTGTCCCGAGGATACCCAGTCTTCCCTTGCAGTCCCCAGGGCAGATCAGACCGAGAGAGCCGTGCTTGTTCAACCTGGAAAAGAGAAGGTTCTGGGGAGACCTTAAGCAGCTTTCCAGTACCAGAAGGACTAAAGAGAGATGGAGGGGGACTTTTTGCAAGGGTCGTGATAGAAGGAGGAACGGCTTCAAACTGTCAGAGGGCAGGTTTAGCTTAGATATTCATCACAGAATTTCCTGAGTTGGAAGGGACCCACTGCAATCATCAAAGTCCAACTCTTTGCACAGGACACCCCCAACAATCCCCCTGTGTGCCTGAGAACAGTGTCCAAATACTTCCTGAACTCTGCCAGGCTTGGTGCTGTGATCACTTCCCTGGGGAGCCTGTTCCAGCTCCCAGCCACCCTCCGGGTGAGAAACCTTTCCCTAATATTCAACCTAAACCGTTCCTGACACCTGTCACTGGTCACCAGAGAGAGGAGATCAGTGTCTGCTCCTCTGCTTCCTCTTGTAAACTGTGATGAGGCCTCCCCTCAGTCTCCTTTTCTCCAGGCTTGAACAAACAAAGTAACCTCAGCTGCTTTCCATATAACTTTTCCTGCCTTAGGAAGAAATTATTGTGAAGATGGTGGGACACTGGCACAGGTTGTCCAGGGAAGCTGTCCATGCCCCATCCCTGGAAGTGTCCAAAGCCAGGTTGGAAGGGGCTCTGAACAACCTGGTCTAGTGGAGGGTGTCCCTGTCCTTGGCAGGGGGCTTGGAAGGACTTTAAGGTCCTTTACAACTCCCTGGCGTGTCTGCCTAGCCCAGCCCTGGCTGCATGTTTGAGCCAGCAGCCATTCCCACTGCTGGCTGCCCCCAAGCCGGGAGCGTGTGGTTCCCTTCCACCGGGATTCCGGGATGCTCCCCTGCACAGGGCTGCCCCTCGCCCCTGGTCCCTGGCAGCCCCATGAGCCCCCCGGGTTCTGTGCCAGGTGGTGCCTCTGGGGACCCCACCAGGAAGTGACACTTTCCATTTTGCATCACAGCCATCTGACAGGCTGGGCTGGGAAAGGGCTGTCGCTGCCTCGAGGGCTGCAGAGCAGGAGAGCGCTGAGGGGATGGACGAGGGTGTCATGTACGCCGACCTGCGCTTTCCCCCTACACCAGGTAACGGCCCCCAACTCTCTCAGTGGGTCCCCTGCCCTCCTGCAGCCCCTTGCCTTCCCCAGAAATGTCCTCCCAGTCCTGCTGCCCCCACTCCCTCTTTGTGGGTGCCCTCTCTTGGACAGCTCCTCTCCTGCCTGCTCTCGGGGTGCGGGGCAGGACGGGCTCGAAGGCAGGGCATGCCCGCTGCACCCCCGTGCCACAGCACAGACGCTTCCCCTCTGCTCTCCCCACCAAGCGTTGCGTGCAGGCAGATAATTTCAAGGACAATCAAGCTGCTGTAAACAGGTTCTTCTCCCCCACTTTTCCCAGACTTCCCCAGTGCCTCCTGATATCCCACCTGGGATTCACAGACATTTCCTCCCTCAAGGCTCCCCATTCCTCCCTCCAAAATGTCTCTCCTCCTCCCCCACCCCGGTCTATGTTAACTCCTTTTCTCAGCCCCTCAGCAGCGAGTGCGCCTGCCCTGGTGCTGGGCAGCCCTCAGCCTGGGTCTCCTCTCCCTGACACTCCTGCTGGCACAGATCATCCTTGTCAGCCTGAGTTTCCAGTGTAAGTACCAGCCACACAGTGCCCAGATCTCTGCAGAGGGGGCCCTGGGGTCGAGGCTGGCACCACATTCCTTGTATCCCAGCAGGATGAGCTGTGGCTTCCCCATGGAGCTGGGTGCTTCTGATTGGGGCTGAGGGCATCATTGTGGGCTCTGGGGCAAGCCAGGAGAACTGGTGAGACAAGACACCACCTACGTGGCTGGAAAAGGAAGCTGGGGCGACAGCGTGGGCTTGGGGAAAGCCACTCCATCAGGTGGCAATGAGAGGTGGGAGGGAGGGCACTGATACTGAAAGACAGCAGCACTTTCCCCGAAGGCCTACTGTGTGCAGGGCTCCCAGGGCTCCCAGGCACAGCAAAATCTGCAAGGACCTTAGCTTGGTGTAGCTAAATCAGGGGACACCTCACCCGCAGCCACGAGGCTGTCCTGTGGGGCAGGACACTGGGTGCTGCTGGCAGCAGGAGCCCAGAGGTGCTAGGACACAGCTGTGCTCTTCTGCTGCAGATTTAGTGCAACAACAGACAAGCTGCACAGACGGTCTCTGGAGAATAGAGGAGAGCCCCAGCTATGGGAAACAGACACTGGGAGGTAAGAGAGCCTGGTGGGCTCCTGGGTAAGGTTTGGAGAGGGCCTTACTGCTGCTTTCAAGCAACCAAATCTGTCCCTACTCGAGGATGTTTCCCTGAGCTCTCTCCTTACATATTCCTTCACCTTTACTGCCCAATCCTCAGCTTGTGGTGTGCAGCCTGCCCCAGCACTGCTGAACAGGCTGAACTCTGAGGCCCCTTTAGAAGAGATGACCCCAGACAGCTCAGTGTTACCTGGGCACACCACCAGCACCAGCCCATGGATGCCACCAGCATCCCTGTGCCCAATGACATCAGCTTCTGGTGCAGCTGAAACCTTATCTGAGCCCCAGCACTTTGTAAACTGTGTTTGTATCACTTCCCTAACCTGCAGCTCCCTGCTCAATTCCAGCATGATCCTGTAGCTAGCCCCTCTTCCCAGGGCTCTGGGGCTGGAAAGTTGGAGCTGGGCTCACAAACGAGGACAAATGCAGAGTGGTGTCCATGGGGCAGGCATATGAACAGGATGGGTTGGTCGACTGCCCACTGTCACTCTCCTGGTCCCTGGGGCTGGTGACAGCAGCCCTGGCCAGCTGTCCCACCCCACCTGGGTGTTTCTGGTGTGCAGGGCAGTGCCAGTTTTGCCCCGTTGGCTGGCTCTGGGATGCGGGGCAGTGCTACTACTTCTCCTCTGCCAGAAAGAGCTGGGAGCAGAGCAGAGAGGACTGCTGCTCCAGAGGGGCACAGCTGGTCACCATCCAAGCCAACAGCACCCTGGTGAGTGCACCCTGCCAGCTCCCTGTGAGCACTGGGCTGTCCTGGTGGCCACCTCACGGTCCCTCAGCAGGCACAGCATTGTCTCAGCTTCCCAGCCCGTGTGCCCAAAGCCTGGCACAGCCTCCAGGCAGGGATCTGGCAATGCCCACACAGCACAGCCCCATCTCTGACCTGTGGCTGGGCTGGGTGTCCCCCGGAGCTCAGGTGGGTCCTCTCCTGTGCTAGGCGTTCCTGGTGCGCACAGCTAACATGGATGCCTTCCACGTGGGGCTGAAGCAGGATGGCTTCAGGTCTGACTGGAAGTGGCTGGATGGCACCACGCTGGAATGGTGAGGCTATCAGCTTGTTCCCAGCCAGGTGTGCGGAAGGTCCATCAGCAGGGCTCGGGGTGGTGCTGGGGACAGGCATGCAGGGATGTAATCCAGATTTTGGCCACCTCTTTTCTTCCCAGGACTGCATTGGGGCATTTTAGGGAAGGGGCGTTTTTAGCAGGGGCCTGACCCTGGTGCCCACACTCTGCCTGGGTCTGCAGGGGATTCTGCAAGAGCAGGGTCCCAGTTTGGTCAGTGCTCAGCCCTGCTAGGACTGACCTGGGGGTACTTTGTGAGAGATGGGGCTGGGGGCATCAGGGCATGTGGCCTAATTGGGAAGAGGCTGGTGGGAGACTGTGCCCCTTGGGGAGGGTGAACTTTGCTCTCACAGCATCCCTGTGCTGTGTCTGGTCCCTGGCTGTGGGAGCTGCTGATGGGACAGCCTTGGTTCCTCCTGCCCATCCTATCTCAGCCCACTCTCTCCCTTGCAGGATCTTCCCAGTCCAGCGCTACACCAGGTCCTTCCAGGCTTGTGGCAGGGTGTCAGGCTTGGGACTTTTAGGTGGTGCCTGCACAGACGCCCTCAGATGGGTCTGCAAGCAGAGTGCAGCCACCATGCAGTGGCTCCAGTCCTCGCCTCCTGCCTTCCTCTGGGGAAACACCACCTACAGCTGCGTGAGGCCCTGATGGCCAGGGTGACCCCCAGCCTGTGCCACCACCCCGTTCCCTGCCTGACCCCAGGCCATGGGCATTCCCAGGCTCCGCTGCCTCCTGGCACAAACCTCTTTACCCTCCAGAACTCTGCACTTTGCCAATAAACTCTGCCGATAACTGCAGCTGGCTTTGCGGTGTGGGGGTGGGAGGATGGAGGTGCATCCTCCAGCTCCCAGACTCGGTGGCATCACTCACAAGTGGGAAATTGCATCCTGTGGCCAGGAGCCAGCATTGAGCCAGCAGGAATCCAAGCATCCCCATGCCCAAAGGCAGCGTTCAGCAGCAGCTCCTGTGCAGGCTCAGGTCCCGTGAAGGCTCTGGGCTTTCTGATCCTGCTGGTTTCCTGGGGCTTTTTCTCCCTGGGTCATGCTGCTGAGAGGTGACCCCTTGCCTCTGCATCCCAAGGAGGACTCAGGCTGGGCAGCACTTGTTTGCTGGTGCCTGCCCAGCCTGAAGAGGTTCCAGCAAACATCCTCACTTTGGGTGATGTGTGAGGGCCTAAAAGGCCTGCTAGGGCCTGATTTGGAGTTGTTTGGTCCCAGAGGCTGTTCTGATTTCAGTATAGACCACTGGGTTTTTCCAGCAGCGTGTAGCTCTGGCACAGACCTCACTGGGACTCTCTCCCAGCACATGCAAAATACCAAACCCACAGCCAGGGCAGCCTGTCAGCCTGAGAAGCACTGGGAGGTGCAAGGTGGTGCATGGGGAAGGGTTGCCCTGCTGTGGCCTCTACCCAGGGGCTTGGGCTCTTCACAACACAGAGCATGCTGAGCAGGAGGGAGGTCATTCATTCCCCACCCCCTAAAATGAGAATATATGCAGGAAAAAGAAGACTTTTTTGCAAATAAAGCAACTACTTCTGCTTTTGTGGATATGAAGATGTATCTCCATGCAGTATGGTCTCAGCCACACTCTGCCCCCTGACCACAATGGAGAAGGACAGAGGTGGGTTCCTTCCTGGGCTGCTGCTGCTGCTGGGCTGCCTGCATGGCCCAGAGTGGGGCCCACACTGACCTGCAGTGTGCTGAGACCCTGCTCCTGTCCCCCTGTGCCCTGCACACCCAGTGAGGGTGACATTCACTGCAAGACCCTGCTGCTGGGCTGGTGCTGACCGTGGCCAGGCTGGGTGGAACCCAGCTGTGCTCACTGCCACAGGGATGCCCCAGCACAGGGTGGGCACTGGGTGATGGCAGTGGAACTGTGGGGGGTGCCCATTGCCCATGGGCACTCAGCTTGTCACAGGCTTCCCATGGAAGAGTCTCAGATGTCTCATTCCACAAAGCCATTTATTCACAGCACAGTAACACAGAAACAGCTCAAAATGGTTCCTTTGAGGATGGGTACCCAACAAAGGAACACCTGGGCTTTTATCCCCTCAATGTCTGCTTGTGCTCAAGCCTTGCTCCTCTTCCTCTCTTCTCCTGCCCCCCTCTGTGTCCATCCACCTTGCTTTCATCATCCCTCTCCTTCATTATGAAAAAGGTTAGCAGTTCCTGCCTCCTGCAGTGTCTCTCAGTGTCCGTGTATCTCTCTGGCACCTCTCATCCTCCTGCCCTTTGCTATCCCCAGGTTGGCTCCTCTTGCCTCGGGCTCCCACCTGAGCTCAATCTGCTTTTCCATCTGCATCTCTGCCTGTGCCTTGCAGGTCCAGCTGCCTGGAGCAGAGGTGTTCCTCAACGAGGGACGTCTGTACCAGCCTTCCACTGGGGGAGGCTTGGTGAAGGTGGGTAAGATGCTGCCACTGAGTCCCTTTGAGGACTCTATTAGTTTTCCTGGCTGCCCCTTGCCTCTGCCACTATTTGCTGCTGGCTCCTGCCTTGCCCTTTCTTATCCCTACATCTCCTGTCCTGGGCTGAGCTTTGTTGTCGTGCCTCCATGCCAGGAAGGAGATGCAGCACAGCTCCTGGGCATGCAACCATCCAGTGTGGATGGGGAATCCAGGCAGGATTTACCAAGGGCAGGCAGTGCCTGGCCTGCCTGCTGCTGTGGCAGCAATGCGCTGTGCATGAGGAGAGCAATGGGGAATGTTTATCATGAACCTTTCAGGTCTGGGACTTGGTTTCCCATGGTCTTCTCACTGGCAAAGTGGGGATATATGAGGGCAGGAGTAGAGGAGAAGAGCTTGGGTGGAAAACCTGAATGGTGTGAGGGCGGCAGGGGGTGTCAGAAACACCCCTGTTCTCCTGAACTCAGTTGCTGAAGGGTTGATCCTGGGGTTTGTGCTAATTGGAGCTTTCATCAGTGCACTGGATGGAGGGTAGGGGGTGGCTCAGGCTGCTGGGGGGCAATACCACACCAGTAATGTGTACACTGGAGGGCAGGACTGGGTACAGAGAGGCCTGGAGAAATGGTTTTATGGGAGCCTGCTGATACTGGGGTGGGTAAAAGCCTATATCCTGCAGCTGGGAAGAAAGGCGAAGCCACATATCAAGATGGGCAAGTAAGCAGCCATGCTGAACCAGGCCAGGGAAAACACGGACCAGAGGCTGGATGGGGGCTGCAGTGTGTCCTTGAAGTGGCAACGGCAACACTGTGGGCAGTGGGGGCTGGAACTCAGGGCTTTGGGAACAGGGAGGACATCTGGAATCTGCAGGACAAGCCAGACACAACAATCTTTGTTTTGCATGATAGCTGAGACTGTAGGGGACCTGCAGCCCTGTCCCAGCCTTGCCATGCCATTGGGCTGGCTCCATCAGCCTCCTTCTGTGGAAGCTCTCCTAGGAGCTGCCCTCTCAGTCTGAAGCCATTTCCCTTTGTGCTCTTGCTACAAGCCCTTGTGTAAAGTCTCTCTCCAGATTTCTTGTAGCCATTTTTGGTAGTGGAAGACCACAGTAAGTTTTCCCTGAAGCCTTCTCTTCTCCAGGCTGAACAATCCCAATTCTCCTCACAGCAGAGCTGCTCCATCCCTCTGATCCCCTTGGTGGCTCCTCTGTGCTGGCTCCAGCAGGTCCCTGTGGTTCCTGTGCTGGGAGCCCAGGGCTGGATGCAGTGCTCCAGGGGGGTCTCAGCAGAGCAGAGCAGAGGGGCAGAATCCCCTCCCTGCCCTGCTGCCCACGGGGCTCTGGGTGCAGCCCAGGACACGTTTGGCTCTCTGGGCTGGGAGTGCCATGGCTGGGCCATGTGCAGCCTCTCACCCACAGCACCCCCAAGCCCTTCTGGGCACGGCTGCTCTGGGGCTGCTCATGCCCAGCCTGTGCTGGTAACAGGGGCTGTCCCAGCCCAGGGGCAGCACCAGCACTTGGCCTTGTTACACCTTGTGATATTCCCATGAGCCACTCCTCAAGCTTGTCTGGGTCTCTCTGGATGGCATCCCATTGTTCAGGTGTGTCAAACACCTCAGCTTGGTGTCATCTGCAAACTTGGTGAGGGTGCAGTTGATCCCACTGTTCACATTGTTGACAAAAGTACCGAATAACATTGGTCCCAAGGTGAATCCCTGAGGACCATCATCATCACCAGTGTCCAGTGAGGACACGGAGCCATTGAGCACTATCTTCTGGATGGAGCTGTCCCACTTTTCCACTGAACAGTTCACCCATTGAATCCATTTATCTCAAATTTAGAGGAGGACTGTGTTGGAGGCTTTACAGAAGTCAGACAGATGACACGTTGCAGCCCTTCCCTTGTTCACTGGTGCAATCACTCCATTGTAGAGGGGCACTGGGTTGGTTGGGCAGGACTTGTGGTGAAGCTGTGCTGGCTGTCGCAGGTCCAGCTTAGCAAAATGGTTGCCAACACATTCCCCTCTCTGCAGAAACCCTGGCTGAGGCAGGGAGGGCCACCCTGGGTCCTGGACTGGGGTCTCTCATCACCCTCCTTTGGCAGATAAGGTCCAGCCCCATTCTTAGGGATCTTTCCCCCTTGGTGGGAGGGGTCTCCCTTTTCCCCCATGTTCCCAAGTCTCCCTAGTGCTCCTTCCTCTCTCCCACCATTTTCAGAACCATATTCATTTGCAGCTCCACTGTGCTCCCTTTCTTTCCATGGTTTCAGGATTCACACATTCACCTCCCATGGTCTTAGGGCTCTTTATTGCCCTCGTTTTCCTCCCGTAGTTTCAGAGTTTCCTCATTCATCCACCACATTCTCAAAGCTCCCCAGCACTTCCCCATTCCCTAAATGGTCTCTGGCTTTCCAGCATTTTCTCATGCTGATGGCCCCACTGCCAGCACCCTTTCCAGGCAGGACCCAGCCATGGGCAGGTGATGAAGGCAGAAGAAAGGGGAGGACAAGAGCTGTCAATGCTGAGAGAAGGGAACGGCTGTAAATCCACAGGTCTCCCCAAAATAGACAGGTTGAGGACATCAGCGTGTCAAAAATATGCAAAAGGCAGATCCTGCACTCTGGCAGCCTTGGGGTAACAAAGAACGTGAGAGCCGGGCTCTGCACTGGAGCTGCATTGGCCAGGGCACACAGGGACATGCAGTGGCACAGTACAAAGCAGTATAACATGTGTTTGCTTGAGTGTGGGAGAGGGGAATAAGGACTCTTTTCCATAATCCTTGCTTTGAAATAGAGACAGTTTTCCCCGGCAGTTTTGCAATGCAATTGAGGCAAAGCGTGCCCCGGGGGCAGGATCCCGGCGTGCACACCCAGCTCCTGGTCCTGACTCCAGGGATGGAGCCGGGGTGGCAGCAGTCAGTCCTCGGCCAGAAAAAGAGGACGAAGCTCAGGTACACGGCTCAGATTTGGGGATTTCTCGCAGATCCACGGGTAGGGTTTGTTACATGGCTGATTCCACATTTCCCCGAGGACTAGTGACCAGCAGTCTGGAGAATGGCGTTTCCTAGGAAAGGAGGCACGTCTCAGGGCAGCAGTGACAACCTCCTCACCATGGACACCGCTTCCCATAGATCCCAGTGCTGCTGGGGCAGGCAAGGCACCCGGCACAGAGAGCAGCCTGAGGAAGTGTCACATTCCTCCTCCTGCTCTTCTTCTCTGCCACTTGGATATTTGGCACTGCACCCCAGAGCTTGGCTCTACCCTCACCCCCCTCCCTTGGGGCACTGCTCAGGGGACCCCATCAACCCTTTTGGGGTGTCACAGGGGCAAAACAGCACCTTTCTATCATGGCCAAAGGGCAGGGGCTTGTGCCAAGGATTCTTGCACTTACGAGGGATGTTTGCTCTCTGTCCACATAGGTCTCCTTGCCACATAAGGAGGTTTTCCTCCAATCCAGTAGTACGCCTTAGATGCATGCACAAAATACTAGGGGGGAGAGAAGCTATCAGCCACCTGCTTCATGACCAGCACTTGCCAGGTGCCCAGGAGCCCCAGGGCTGGCTGTGCTTCTCCCATCAGACTGCCAGGATGGCAACCTGGGGCTCATGGTGCCACCCTGGCACCTCCACAGATAGTGCTGCAGCTGGGGGTCTGCCCAGCACCACCCTCCTGGGGTACCACAGCCCCCCTGCTCCATACCGGCACTGTCAGTGGTGACCACTCATCCTGGACCAGCAGCTGAGCAGATCTCCCTTCACAGTCGTCCCTGCTCTGCTCCCAGGTCTTGTTTGTCACCGAGATGTAGAGGCACTTGCTCTTGAAGAGTACCCAGCCCCAGGGGCAGCAATCTGGAGGCAGAGGCACAGCTCAGGTGCTCATCCTTCCATGGATGCTTGGGGAGCTCAGCCTGGCTGAGTTCAGCCCCCGCATCTTTGCAGCAGCAGCATCACCTGTGCCCCAGCCCCGTCACGCTCTACCTGTGTTCACGCAGGCACGCAGGCTGCTCACGGCCCTCTCGCTGCTGTTGAGCCTCCCCTGCACCTCCTGCATCTCCCTCTCTGTCCTGCCCAGCACCCCCGTGACGCGGCGCAGCTCCAGGCTCAGCCTGTCCAGCTCCAGCTGGCTGATGTTGCCCTCGTGCCACGCGCGCTGCAGCTCCTCTCTGGCCCACGCCAGCTCCAGCTGGGTCTGCTCCAGGCTCTGCTCCTGCGCCCTCAGCTCCTGCGACAGGCGGCCCTGCTCGGCCTTGTGCTCACGGGAGGAGTCCTGCAGGCTGCGGGTGACCTGCCAGTCTGGGGACAGGGTGGGGTGAGCTGGGACACGAGCATGGGGCCCTGCCTGGGGCATGCCTCTGGCAAGGGAGAGTGGGATAAGAGTATCTGGCTGTGGGAGGAGATTGTCCTGGGGGTGCCAGTGGGAAGGGAATGGAAGCCCCAGGGGTGGCAGGTGGAGGGGAGACATTGGAAGACAGCAAGAGACAGTGGGAAGACAAGGAGAGTCAATGAAAAGGCTGTGGAAGGCAGTGGGAGGCAATGGGAAGGCAGTGGAAGGGAGTGGGATGCAGTGGGAGGCAATTGGAAGCAGTAGGAGGGTTTGGAGGGCAGTGGGAAGCAATGGGAGGCAGTGGGAAGAAAATGGGAAAGAAAAGGGAGGCAGTGGGAAGCAATGGGAAGTCAGCAGGAGGTGGTGGGAATAAAATGGGGAGGCAATGTGAGGCAGCGGGAGGAAGTGGAAGGAAGTGGGAGGCAATGTAAGACAGTGGGAAGTCAGTGAGAGGGAATGGGAGTTAGTGATGGAAAGGCAGTCAGAGGGATTAGGAGGCAATGGGAGGGAGTAGGAGGCAGTGGGAGGAAATGGGAGGCAATGGTTGACAATGGGAGGCAGTGGGAAGACAGTGGGAGGAAATGGGAAGCAGTGATAGAGGGTGGGAGGCAGTGGGAGAGATTGGGAAGCAGCAGATGGCAGTGAGATGGCAGTGTCTGGGCAGTGAGAAGACCGTGGGAGGAAGTGACAGGGAGTGGGAGGCAGTGGGAAGACAGGGGCAAGACCATGGGAAGGGGTGGGAGGTGGTGGGAAGGCAATGGAAAGGCAATGGAAGGGAATGGAAGAGACTAGGGGCGCCAAGGGGAGATTGTGGTAGGCAGTGAGAAAAGGTAAGGCAGTGTGGGGCAGCTTGTGGAGGCCATGCAGGAGCCCCGGAGCCCAGGCCAGGCCTGCTCCCTGGCAGCGCCTGCAGCCAGCCCCTCTCCCGGCCCAATGCCCTCCCGGCTGCCCCCACCCCCGGCAGCCACCGACTCACGGCAAACGCCCAGGGCCACCACGGCCACCAGCAGCAGCAGCAACAGGAACAGGCTGGCTACCAGCAGCGCTGTGGGGACGCGCCACGGCCGGCTCCAGCGCCCTGCAAGAGAGGAGCACCGGCAGCATCACCCCGCGGGCATCGCCCTGTGGGCATCACCCTGGGCATCCCCCTGGTGCCCTGCATCCCCGCGGCTGCTCGCTGTGTCCCCACCTGGGCTGGGCTCTGCTGTCACTAGCCCCAGCGGTGACACGTTCTCGTAGGGACTGTCATCGTCGTCGGGCGCGGTGGACGGCGGCCGTGCCGCGAACTTCAGGTCGGCATAGACCACACTCTGGGCCATGCCCCGCGCGGCCCTGCGGGCTCTGCTCCTCTTCAAATGAAAATGCAGCTGAAGCAGAAGTGTGGCGAGGAGTGACAGAAGGGAAAGTACAACCACGGCAGCGGCATCCTGCCATTGGCCAGGCACCACCGTTGGGCTCCCCCTCCGCCCCCCAAAACAGCTCAGGGTCCCCTGGGACAGCACTGGGGTGGTGCAGCTTGGGGCTGGAGCGTGGGGCACAGCTGCAGGGCTCAGCCTACAGAGAATTCACCAGATTTCCTGGGACAGGGCACAGCAGGTCTGGCATCCAGCTGGGAACAGGTCGCTCTGCTGCTGACTCCATCCAGGATGGAGGTTCTCTCTTCTTGGGGCTCTGCTGCAGGATCTGAGCATCACTGCCCTAGTGCCTAAAAGAGACTCCCACACTGCAGCATGAGCTTTCACTTCTCTCATCATGGCCACATCTCTCCACTCTGCCACCAAATACACTATGGAAAACCACATCGCAGACACCAAAGGGTCATGATAAATGGCCCTGTTCTCTCCCCTCGTCCCCATGCCGGTGCTTCCAAGCAGTAGAAGGCACACGGAGCAGTCACCCAGTAAATCCCACTGGCCTTTCCATGCATGTCCTCCCTGGGTCTGGGCACCTGGTCTGCCCAGGTGGACATGCTCCATTTTCTTCCAGGAGGCTGAGAGAGGCTGCCCAACTTTTAGTTTTCTAAACCTCCTTCCTGTCCCCTTTGAAGCTGGCTTTGATTTTTGCCTTTCTCCACTGAGGAAGAACTTCCCTTGCTCCTGCAGAGATGATGGACAGTGGTTATGTAACACTGTGCTCCCCCAGCACCACTGTGCACCTCCAGTGCTGTCCCAGGGACTGGCTGTGTTCAGATGTGTCCATCTGGCCATCTGAGAGACAGTGGGAGGCAATGGCAAGGCCGTGGAATGGAGTGGGAGGCAGTGGGAAGCAATGGGAAGCAGTGGGAGAGTTTGGGGGCATCCCTTCTGAAACCTGCCCTTCTCTGGATGTAGTTCAGTAGAGACCTCTGAGACACTGGGGGCCTGGAGGGACCAATAAGGTGTTGTGGATGCTGGGATTGTGATCTTGGCAAGGGAAGGCAAAGGGGACATCACTGTTTTTTGTAACTCTCCGGGGCTGTTTTGGAGCAATGCCAAAGCTGGGGTCTTCTTTGGACGGGACCAGGGAGAGCATGAGAGGTAGTGGAACAAAATACATCATGGGGAAATTCCCACTCTTAGAGGCTGGGAGGGGAAATCTCAGTCTGTGAAGACCTCCAACCCTCCACAGAGCTGTCCACTTGGCAATTTTCTCCTGCTTTCAGGATTGCCCTGCTCTGCCCCGCAGTCCCCAGATTTGGGTCCATCCTTTGCTGTGCCCCTGCTGTGACACCTGGCTGTGCTGCCCTCACCCTGCCCCTGCCTAGGGGGACCATGAGCACTTTTAGGGCGTGGGAGGGGACGGTATGGTGTTTCTGGGACCAATGAGAGGGTGCTGGTCCCCGCAGCTGTGCCTCACTAGTTCCATCTGCTAGAGTGCAGAGCAAACTTCTGCTTCTGCACCTCTGAGGGACGGCGCAGTCACCGGGAGCAAAGGGGACATCGCAGAGAGGCATCCCCAGGGCAGAGTGGGCTCAGAGTTCGCCAGTGCTCCCCACATGGCCCAGCTTTATGCTGACCTGAGGTTTGCCAAGGTGATGGGGGGCCGGAGCACGGCCAGCCAGGCACTGGAGGCAGGTGAGAGCCCACAGGCCCCGCCACGCTGTCCCTGCTGTGCCCAGCCGCTCGGCCTCAGCTGCCCTCCCCTGCCTTCTTCCCACAGCCTTCAGCATGAATGAGGCAGAGAGCCCCTACGAGAGCAGCCAGCCAGCACTGGCAGGGCAGGATGGGGATGGAGATGGAGAGCCCAGCCCAGGTGAGCATCCAGCTGCATTCCAGCAGACCCAGGGTGGTTCTGGGCTGGGTCGTGGGTGGTGTTTGGGGTCCTCCCACTCCCATCACCCACACCAGTGCTGTCATGCCACCACTCTCCTGCTTGTATCCAGGAGGGAGGTCTGGGGGCTGCCAGGTATTTTCCAGCTCTTCAGGTGATGTCTGTTGTGTCGTGCAGGGTGCTGGTCCCGTCGGTGGTGCATCCCTGTGGGGCTGCTGACAACTTGCCTGCTGCTGGTGGCCACCGTGGCCCTGGGGGCTTGCTGTGAGTTGGGGGATTGTGAGCATCTGGGGCTGGGAGTGTGAGCATCACACTCCCTGGGTTGGGTTGGAGGCTATCTGTCTGGGGTGGGCACTGTGGGTGAATGGAGGCATGCTCATGCACACCCACTGCTGAGTCCCTGTGCTGTCAGCCACAAGCTGGCCTATATCCCTCGCACGCCCCTCGCACCTCCTTTGCCTCCCATCATCCCTCTTCCTCACCTTACTTTCCATTTCTGCTCTTTTTTTCCCGTCCTGGCACTGTCCAGCCTCATATTACTGTACCCTCCCTGCCCTTCACCTGCTGTGTCTGCTCCTATGCCCATCCGGCCATGTCTTGCTCTCCCCTGCCAGATCCTACCCAACCCTTAGCCGTGCACTTCCCTGCTGCATCCTTCCCTGCCACCTTTCCCATTCATCATAGATAATCCCCTGCCTTGCCCTGCCCATCCCACTTGCCTCAGGCAGGGTCAGTCCCACATCCGAGCTGTCCCATGCTCGTGTCCCAGCTCACCCCACCCTGTCCCCAGACTGGCAGGTCACCCGCAGCCTGCAGGACTCCTCCCGTGAGCACAAGGCCGAGCAGGGCCGCCTGTCGCAGGAGCTGAGGGCGCAGGAGCAGAGCCTGGAGCAGACCCAGCTGGAGCTGGCGTGGGCCAGAGAGGAGCTGCAGCGCGCGTGGCACGAGGGCAACATCAGCCAGCTGGAGCTGGACAGGCTGAGCCTGGAGCTGCGCCGCGTCACGGGGGTGCTGGGCAGGACAGAGAGGGAGATGCAGGAGGTGCAGGGGAGGCTCAACAGCAGCGAGAGCACCGTGGCCCTCCTGCGCTCCTGCACAGCCATAGGTAGGGTGGCGATGGCGCAGGGAGGGGGTGCTCCAGCACTGGTACTGCTCAGCAGGTGCCAAGGGCCAAGTGCTGGCTTTTTTGACGCCATGGTGGGGACAGAGTGGTCCAAGAGCTGAAGCAGTGCTGGAGCAGACACTGGGCTTGTGATGCCTGCTGGGAAGGTGTGGGGCTGTTCCTTGTCACCCCCCCAGGGCATCTGTGGCTGAGCAAGCCCCTCAGCTGTGCCCCTACCCACAGATTGCTGCCCTTCGGGCTGGCTGCTGTACAGGGGCAAGTGCCTGTTCATCTCCTCGGAGAAGAAGACGTGGGAAGACAGCAGAGATGAGTGTGAGAAGACATATTCTCAGCTCCTGGTCACCAAATCCTGGAGTCGTTGGACTGTGCCGGTAGGGTGCTGGGGGAGCTGAGGGCAGGGGATGGTGTGTCCAGCCATGAGGTCCCCAGGTGGGCTAGCACGGTTCTGGGGGCTCCCTGTCCTGCCAAAACATTGCAGAGTGCAAGGCTCTTTTCTGGAGTACATGGCTGGTGGTTGACATGGGATAGAAGGTCTCTGGCACCCCTGGATGCTTCCCAAGCTGGACCAGGGCACCAGGGCTCGAGAACTTCCAGCCCCAGGGACTCCTTGGGAAGATGATCACCCTGCTGCTAAGTAAATAGTACTGCAGTACATGGGTGCCATGGAATAAAACATGGAAAAGCACTTTTTCTTCTTCTCCAGACCTTTCTGAAGAATGCAGATGTCCCATACTGGATTGGATTGCAGAAGGGCAGTTTTCCCTGGTACGACTATGGCTGGCTGGAGGAAGAGGACCCAGACAGCGAGGGAGGCTCGGAGGCCTGGTTCTGGGTGGATGGCTCCCTTTATGAAAGGTACATGGCAGCACTGCCTCTTCCCAAAACTGCCCTCCTCTGGCATGGCTCTAGGAAGGGTTTTAAACCCCACCAGGACCCAGCTCGAGGCACAGGCCCTGGGGAACAAAGAGCATCAGAGCAGCAGGGACTGATGGAAGGTTGGTGCAGTGGTGTGATGAGGTGCTCAGAGGACACGCGTATGGAAAGCCAAGACACGTGGGTGGGTAAAATGCAGGGCAAGAGAAGCAGGAGCCAGCAAGAATGGACAGAAGAACCCCCAAATTTTATCTGGGGCCTAAGCAAGGTGTTAGAGCGCCACGCCTATCTCCCACATACCTTCTTAATTCCTCTCCAAAGGGAGATCACAGCCTTCTGTGGAGAATCCTGGGCTCCTCCCTGCCACGTGCACCACCTCCTCAGCTCGCTGCCGCTTCCTCTTGCAGTGTCTGAGAGCACTGGGGAGGAACAAGCCTGTCTGGCCAGGTTCTGGGGCACTGGCCCTCCATCCTCAGCCCAGCCACGGGAGCCGTGCCCAGAGCGGAGCCAGGCTCAGGCCAGCTCCTCTGGTTGTCCTTGTGTCCTCAGGGAGGACCTGGCTCTCCCCACTGCAGGCATGAACAACCGCCAGCAGTGAAAGCTGAGAGGGCGCAGGCTAAAGGCGTGTCACAGGCACTGCAAACATTTTACAGTGTTTCTCAGCCTGTCCAGGGAAATGCAGGAATGCATCAGCTGAGCCTTCAGCCTGTGAAATCAGTAGGGGAGGACTGGGAGATCCCTCTTTCACTGCAGCATCCAACCCCTCTGCCAGTGTACAAAAGGCAGTTGTCAGCAGCGGCAGCTGCCTCAGCAGGGTTTGTAGAAAGAACATGTCAGTGCCTGATGTGTTGTTTGTTTCCCCATTCAGGCCATGGCAGTCAAAATCGAACGGAACCTGTGCCATAATAAGCCGTGGGAGCATCAAACCCGCTCAGTGCACTGGTCCCAGTGACCTGCACCTCTGGATCTGTGAGAAGGCAGCAGGGCCAAGCCTCCCTTTCAAGTGAGGATGGCTGCTGGCCCCAGCACTGCTGTGGTGAGTCCTGCTGAGTCAGGGACACAGGCCCTGTGGGGTGTGCCTGGAGGAAGGCAGGGAGCCTGCAGCTCTGCCTCTGGGATATCGACTCCCTCTCCCACGGGAAGGGAGAGGAATGCAGTCACCTCCCTGTGCTGGATGGACCCTGCCTCC